AAAAGGGAGACACTGAGGAAGTTCAGGTCATACTTGGAAAACCTGTACTCCACAAATTTGAAAATTCAAAGGAAAAGGATAAATTTCTGGATAGCTATCACCTATCAAAATTAAATAAAGAATGGATAAGCAATTTAAATATACTTATATCCCCTAATAAAATAGAGGCACTCATCAACATCCTCCCAGCAAAAAAAAAAAAAAAAGCCCAGGGCCGGCTTCCATGCAGAATTCTCTCAGAAATTTAAAGAAGAGCTAATATCAATACTCCTCAAATTGTTCCCCACAATAGAAGCAGAAGATTCCTTACCGAGCTCTTTTCATGAGGCCACAATCACCTTGGTACCCAAGCCACACAAAGCACAACTAAGAAAGAAAACTACAGACCAATATCCCTGATGAACATCAATGACAAAAAATACTCAATAAAATACTGGCAAATCAAATGCAAGAATACATCAGAGTAATCACCCACCATGAACAAGTAGGCTTCATCCCTGGGTTGCAGGGATGGTTGAATATATGAAAATCTATCAGTGTGATCCACCATGTAAACAAACTGTAAAAGAAAAACCACATGATCATCTCATTAGATGGTGAAAAAGCCTTTGACATATTCAACATCCTTTCATAATAAATGTCTTGGAGAGATCAGGGATAACATGAACATATCTAAATGTAATAAAAAGCAACATACAGTAAAACCAATAGCCAACATCAAACTGAATGGACACAAGCTTAAGGTGAGCCCTCTAAAATCAGGAAAAGGACAAGGCTGTCCTCCCTATATCTCTCTCTTCAATATTATACTTAAAGCTAGCTCTAGCTAAAGCAATAAGAAAACAAACAGAGATTAAGGGGGCATAAATTGGAAAGGAAGATGTCAAAATGTCACTATTTTCAGATGATATGATAGTTTACATAAGTGACCTAAAACCTCTACCAGGGAACTCCTACAGCTGCTAAACATTTCAGCAAACTAGCAGGATACAAGATAAAATAAAAAAAAAAAAATCAGTAGCCCTACTATATACAGACAACAAAGGGGCTGAGAAAGATATCAGAGAAGAAACATCACCCTTTACAATAGCCACACACAACATAAAGTGTTTTGAGGTACCTCTTACCAAACAAGTGAAGACCTATATAGCAAGAACTTTGTGTTTTTAAAGAAAGAAATTAAAGAAGAAACCAGAAAATGGAAAGATCTTCCATGTTCTTGGATAGGTAGGATAAACAGAGTAAAAATGACAATCTTGCCAAAATCAATCTACAGATTCAATGCAATCCCCGTCAAAATACAAGCACCATTCTTCACTGACCTTGAAAGGATAATAATCATCTTTATATGGAGAAACAAAATACCCAGGATAACGAAACAACACACAATTGTCCCAGCACAATAAAGGAACTTCAGGAGGCATCACTATCCCTGACTTCAAACTCGACTATAGAATGATTGTCCTGAAAACAGCCTGATATTGGCACAAAAACAGACAGGTAGACCAGCAGAATCGAATAGAAAATCCTGATATTATTCCACACTCCTATGCTAAAAGTATACATTGGGAGCAGGAAAGCATCTTCAACAAATGGTACTGGCACAAATGGATGATAGTGTGTAGAAGATTGCAGATAGATTCATGCCTATCACCATGCACAAAACTCAAGTCCAAATGGATCAAGGACCTCAACATAAATGCAGTCACACTGAATCTTTTTGAAGAGAACAAATTATACTTACACAGACTGTGTCTCATCCTACTTCCCTTGGTATAAACAAGAGCCTGGTTATCATCCTCAATTCATTGTTGACATCTATTCAAATGTGGAAAGAATACAGAACCAAAGACTCATCCTTTTATTGGATAAGAAAGACAAACAACTATCCCTGTACATCACAGACACTAAGCCTGGAGATTCAGCCATCTACTTCTGTACAACAAATATACAATGATCCCCAGGTATCTGCATCCTGTCCTCAAGCCTGCCACCAGGGCTAGAGCAGCACCCTTTTTGCTGTGTCAGAATCTCTAGGACAACATTTGTCACATTGTTTGTTTGAGATGGAAACTAAAAAATAGATATTAAAAGTATTTAAGATAAGGCCACAGATTACCTGGAAAGTTTAAAACATATTGTTACTTGCTGCCTAACAATTACTTGGGGAATTCATTTTTATTGTATATGTTAGATGTCTATTGTGCACTATGATATCTTGGTTTAAATAATCAGTGGAAAATGAATAGTTTGCTGAGTAGGTGCAGAGATCAACATCTGAAGTAAAGGGTAAGGCTTTATCTCTTTTCTTTGTGAATGGATTCTTGTATGTATATGTGTTCAGCAATGCAAAAGTTGTGACATATTCCTACAAGAATTGGCGATATTCTGTTTTAAAACCATGAGGAGGTCCTAGTGTGCTAAATGACAAACCCATAAAGCAATGTGTGCCCACTGGTGCAATAGTGACCTGGTGATTTGTAGGGGCAACCAACTGCTTTCTCATTGTTGTAGAGGTGTAGAGGGAATCAAATATTTTCTCATTGGATTTGAGGTCTACATTGTTGGAAGAAGTACATATGTAGTATGTCAGTCTGTGCAAAAGTGTATGCCTGTTAAATTGTAAAAGTAAAAAAAAAAAAAAGAAAAGAAGAAAATGTTGTTTTAATAAATCATTCTACATCTTATATAGAAAATATGTGAACAACACATTAAAAGCAAACTACAGAATCCAGATGGCCTCAACATTCATTACCTTGAACTGTAAGAGACAAAGGTTCTGAGACAAAGGTGGCATTTGCAGATTACAGTTCTAATTTAAAATCAATAAGAGTTAGAAAACAGGTGTGGACAGAGGTGAGAATGAATAGCTTTGTGAGAAGACAAAGTCTGTCAATGAGGAAATATTACTAAGAGCATATTAAAGGATGGAAGGAGCTCCCACAGAAACATGGCAGCCATGAAAGCCAGACTCATGAGTAAAAATTTTGACTCAATAAAAAGAGGTTATGTCAAATGGCTGCTTGGGACGCTTTGTCAGGTCCGCAGGAAGAGTCACAAATGTCTTCCCAATGCCAAATGATAGTCAGCTTTGATTCCTAACAGCCCACACCACTGGTCACAATGACATTTACAGAACAGAGCTAAGAGAAAGGTCATAGCTTATGTTTGATTCAGAGCATGGCACAACATGTGAGTCATGCATGCCAGTCTCAACTGTGTCTTTGTTGTGGCTGTCCTGTACAGTTAATCTTCACACATTGTTTCACGATACCTAAGTAAATGGGCAGCACAAACTCACTTTTCAAATTTCTAAAAGGTAAAAAGAGCAGATTCTAATTATTACACATTTCCAGAGATAGTTATAATTACACCATTTTATAATAACTTTAAGAAAATTTTAACATCTGTTTATTTTGTTTTATGGGCATGAGTATTTTGCCTGAATTTGTGTTTATGTATCACGTGTATGCCTGGTATCCATGGAGGTCAGAGGAGAAAGTCAGTTCCCTGGAGACTGGAGTTAAAGAGGGTTGAGAACCACAATGTGCATTCTGAGAACCAAACCTGGGCCTTCTGCAAGAGCAAAATTATGTTCTGCAGCTTAACAATCAATTTAGGCCTGCATAGTATCTTAATACAAATTCTAATCAGTGGATATATACTGGTAAAATCTACTTCTTGCTTTTAGTTTATCCTATGATAGAAACTAAAACAGAACCCTAAGAGAGACATGCATGACCCCCACAGAAGGGGAAATGGACAAGATCTCCTGAGCATATTGGGATGGGGGGGCAGTGAGCGGAGAGGGAGTTAGGAGAAAGAGAAGAGGAGGAGAGGAGAACAAGTGGGACCAGGAAGATTGAGTCAGAGTATGAATAGGCCAAGAACAAAAATAAATAAATAAATAAGTAAATAAGTAAATAAATAAATAAATAAATAAAAGAGATACCATAATAGAGGGAGCCATTATAGGTTTGAAGAGAAAACTGGCACTAGGAAATGTCCAGAGATCTACAAGGATGACCCCACTTAACAATCTGCACAATAGTGAAGAGGCTACCTTAAATACCCTTCCCCAATAATAAGATTGATAGCTCCCTATATGTCATCCCAGAGCCTTCATTCAGTAGCTGATGGAAACAACTAAACACTGAGCAGAACTCCTGGAATCCAGTTGCAGAGAGAGAAGTGATGAGCAAAAGGGTCAGACCAGGCTGAAGAAATCCACAGAGACAGCTGACCAGAACAAGGGGGAGCTCATGGACCCCCAGACTGATAGCTGGTAAACCAGCATAGGACCAACCTAGACCCTTTGAACTTGGGTCTCAGTTAGAAGGCCTGGGAAGTCTATGGGAACTCTGACAGTGCAACCAGGATGTATCCTTGGTGCACAAAAGGACTTTGGGAGCACATTCCCCATGGAGGGATACTCCCTTAGCCTAAGACATGAGGGAGGGCCTAGGACCTACCACAAATATCTTGACAGATTTTGATGATTGCTCCTGGAAGGCCTCACCATCTCTGGGGAGGGAATGAGGAATGGGACAGAGAGGGGTTCGTGGGGGGGTGAGAAGATGGAAGGGAGAGGGAACTTGGATCAATATGTAAAATAAAAGAAAACAACAACAACAACAACAACAACAAACCCAAAACCCAAAACAGAGATCTCATCAGTTGCTCTACTATAGAACTTTCATATCAGGTTGAATCCTAAGAATAACAATATTGAATAAATTAATGACCTTTGCTTATATCCTTTATTCTGATAAGGGCAGCTTGAAGTCTGAGATAGCATTATGAATGATGTTGACGAAGAGAGCACATTTCTGAGAGTAAACCAAGAGACCATAGTTAAGTCTCTGTCCACCAGGGGGCAGAGTTTTCTAACACAAGATCATTTTCTTTGTGAATTATAAGCTTCATAGGTTCATCATTTGATGTCATTTCATCATTTCTTCATGTGAAGAGTCAAGGACATTTCTTGGGTAACACTAGAGATGAACATTTTTCTGGCTTTAATGACTGTGATGCTGCTGATCATGCTTGGTAAGTGAAGTGACTTAAAATTTGCACTTGTTATTCTCTGATGTCACAAAAATATTTAATCATATAAGAGCTTTTGCCTTAATGTGACACAGATATCCTCTTCTTCCTCCAGGGAAGACCCATGGAGACTCAGTGACCCAGAAGCAAGGTCATGTGACTCTCTCAGAAGGCGAATTTTTATTTATTAACTGCACTTATTCAACCACATCATACCCGACTCTTTTCTGGTATGCCCAACATCCTGGAGAAGGCCCAGAGCTGCTTTTGAAAGTCACAACAGCCAACAACAAGGGAAGCAGCAGAGGGTTTGAAGCTACTTTTGACAAAGGATCCACTTCCTTCCACTTGCAGAAAGCCTCGGCCCAAAAGTCAGACTCGGCTGTGTACTACTGTGCTCTGAGTGACACAGTGGCACAATCTGCAGGGGGAGCTGAACCCTGAGAAGCAAACCCTGAGAAGCAAAAGAAAGCCTGACTTCTGATTATCTGTCTTTCAGATGACTGTTTTCCACACAGTCTGTGCTGCATAAGTGATTATCATTTGTTTTCTTTCTGTAGTTTCTTGGCCATGTTTATACACCTCTTCATCCTAAAGTATTCCTCTGTATGGTTGGTCTCACGAACATGAATTCTTGGTCTCACGAACATGAATTCTTTTAGCCTATTTTTATCATGGTTCATTTTCTTTCTCCATCTATGGCAGATAGTTTTTCTGGGGACTGTGGTCTAAGTTGGCATGTAGTGTCTTTTAGAACTTAATATACATTGCTCCAGTCTCTGATAGCTTTCAAATTTTCCATGAGAAATCAGGTGTGGTTATGGTGGATTTTCTTTTATATATATCACGTGTGTGTGTGTGTGTGTGTGTGTGTGTGTGTGAGTGTGTGTGTGTGTTTATTTTAGCTTTCCATACTCTTTCTTCGTTCTGTATGTTTTGTGTTTTAACTATGATATTCAATGTGGAATTTCTTTTATTGTTTTATTTTTTTAGTTTGATAACTTTCCTTCTATAATCTTTTTGAAGAGCCATCCTATCTCATTGACTCAGGGTTCTTCTTCATCTATGCCTATTACCTGAATATATGGCTTTTCAAATGTGATATTATTATGATCATGTGCATTTTAGGTGTATGTGTGCCTGTATATCACATACATGACTGATACCAGAAGAGGCAAAAATGGATGTCAGATCCCCTAAAACTGGAGTCACAGCTGTTTATGAGTCACCATATGGGTGCTTGGTTTTAACCAAGATCCTCTTTAGACAATCATTTGGTACTCTGTCTATATAGCTTCTAAATGAGACATTTCTATGGTGTTCTACTGTCCTTGCATGTTTCTTTCTTGTGTTTCAAATTTTTTCTTATTTTTATTTGAGCACTGATATTCTATCTTCTATTCATCCATTCTCCTTGCAAGGCTTCACTCTGAGTTTTCTCATGGGCTTATTAAGCTTTAATTTCATCTTCATTTCAGCTTGAATTCTCTTCACTATTTCTATATCTGGATTGTCTTCTTCATTTTATCCAGCCTTATGCTTTGCCTTCTTGGATATCACTCAAGAATTTAATTAATTTATGATCATATTCTTTAAGTCCATTGAACTGTTTATGTCATCTTTAAGTTCCTTGAATTCTTTAATGAAGTTTATGGTTGTCATTTGAGTTTTATGTTCTGAGGTTCATCTATAGTAATTCTGGATATGGGGTATGGACAGTATACTGTCTTGACCTTTCATATTACTTGTGTTTTTGTGATTAGACTTGGGCATTTGGAATTCTTTGACTTGTTTTATGTCTTATGAGGATAGAGTATGCTGAGCTAGTACACCATATTTGCCTGCTGGATGAAACTCAGAGGTTGACCATGATACAAGGGGAACTAAATAGTCTCAACTAGGCCCCTAGTTGTAGATATAGGGTATGTCTGGTGATTGGGGAGGGTACAGGAAGAGTCAGGCATATTCAATCTGCTGTGCTGGTGTGAAAGGACAGGGCTGGGCCTTGAGGTTGGTTATAAATAGTAAAACCTTTTTAAGGAAGAACCCCACCATGACCCCTGTGAACATGCTCATAAGTGGAAAGATCCCATTGCCCTGTTTGTGTTTGCAGTGAGCGTCACAAATTTCTCTTTTTAAGTTCTATCTTTGCAGAGTGTGTCATTGTACATCAGTGGATCTCATTGAGATTTTTATTTAAAGCCCCATCAAGGGACTTCTCCCCCCACCTCTTGGGTTATCAGCAGCCAATGTTATGATCTTTAATTTTCTGTTGTTTACTTTGGGACTCCCACACTTCTGCATATTGCTCCTCTCACCTGGCAGAGACACACTTGATGCTTTGTTTCAGGTTCTCAGGAGGCAGAAAGTGCTTTGTGTCTCTATCAGTCATCCTCCTGCTCTGCCATGAGAACTGTTAATCCAGTCTTAACATTTTATTGAAAGTCTCTTACAGGGAGGTGTGTATCTCCCTAAACTGTGCTTCAAGTTTAGTTTCATGATTCTGTTTGGACATTTCTTAAGGCCACTGTGCTTTCTGTCTTCTGCTGTCTTCATTGTTGTGTCTCCTCCTTTAGATTTTTTTTTTTTTTGATAATGTCTCCCTGTATGTCTCAGGCAGGCCTTAAGCTCATATTCTGTTGCTTCAGCCTCCCAAACCTGAATCCCTTCTGGGATTATAAGCATACCACATTTTGATTACATCCTCCCTATAGTTTCATATGTACTGAGAAATGAGTGTTGTTACTGTCATGGACAGTACACTCTTGGAAAAACAGTTTGAGTTTGAGCATCTTTCCCTCATTCTGTTCCCTTTGCACTTGTTGATGGGAAAGGAAGGGCATGATCAAACCCTGTTTTGTGGATGGTGATTCATGTCTCTTGAGTAGGAAAAGGTCTTTAGTCACCAGCTTATGCAAGCTCTCAAAGCCCATTATGGGGCAGTGTAGCAGGCACAGAGTTCCTTGTGCTCACAGATACTATTAAGGGAGCCTGTAATGTAAAACACACAGGGCTGTTTTTCTAGGGAAGGAATGCATAATCCGATATCTGCCCAGAAGTCTGGGAGCAGAAGTGATGACTAACCTGGTGAACTGTGTGCCATCTCTGTGCCAGAGACCACACCAACCACCCCAAACCACACTCTTTTCAAATGCTCAGATTTCTTAGTCAACCATACTGCCTTCTTACTGCAAGCAGGTCTTCATGCTGCCAGCCTTGCAGGTCTCTGGAGGAAACTTTCCTCTGGAGGAAAGTTGCATCCTGACTTATTTCTAAGTGCACCCAGTTCATCACTGTCATAGGTTTTCTTCTGGTGCCCATGGCTTGATGACTATGTTTGAAATGGAGAGAGGGTAAAAGCCACAGTGAGAAGGAAGAAGAGAAAAGAAGAAAAAAGAGAAAAGGAGATGGGGTCTGTGTCAGAAAGAGGGAGGTGAGAGAAACCAGAACTAGAACTTTCACAGATCAATCCTACAAAGGAATTCACTGAAGAAAGATGAATAAAAACTTAGACAAACAAGTTTTCTAGGTATTACTGAGAGTTTAGGTACTAAACACAGGTCCAGCTCTCCTGGTTCAATGCACAAATGTTCTATTTAGATACAAGTGTGCTCTTGGCACAAAGTGAAACGAAGCATTCCAGATTTTACAGTCTCTGGTGAAGATAAACAGTCTGTTCAGGCCATCTGTAAACCTTGAAGATGGATTGGTATGAAGGTGTCTGCAGTGACAATGGTCAGCGTTATGCTTTATGGAAGAAGTTCATTCAGATTTCCATGCATACATTTTCTAGGTGATTTTTCAGTACAGGTGGCTACAGAGACAACATGTGCTGAGCGTGCACACACTACCTCACCATCCACCCTGACCTGGAACGCAAGTCTCTTAAAAACACCTACTGAACTCTCAAGTGCTTTACCTTTTAATAATTAGGCTAGGAGAGTTTGCAGATTGAACATTTCTTTGGTCACTATGATGACCCCACAAGGTGGCAGTGTTTGCATAGGATCCTGAGCAAAGCTCTCAAGTGGGAGAGAAGGGGGAAGTGGGGAAGGGCAGGAAGAAGGAGAGGGGTAGAGAAAGGGCTGGGGGACAGGCTTGGTGCTGCTGAGGTGATGAAGTAGTCACTGTTGTGATTGCTAACAAAGCTGCTTTTCATGTTTCCTTAAGCAGGAGATGTGGAACTTTTGAATGTGACTCTGAGTTTAGAGCTGAGAATCTGAATGCTCAGTGAAGAGGGAGGAAGAGAATGAAATCCTTGGGTGTTTCCCTCGTGGTCCTGTGGCTTCAGTTAGACTGTAAGTTTGGGAATTTCTGTGGGATACAGGTGTGATATATAAAGTTGTTGCTCTCTCAGGCTAACGGTAGAAACACAGGTGTTTTTAATCTCTAGTTAAGGAGGGAGAGGTCTGTGAAAAAGCTTTCTGGGGTATCTATATCCATGTGCATCCAGTCCTATTTGTCTGACCTTTGTCTTTCTGCACAGGTGTGAGCAGCCAGCAGAAGGTGCAGCAGAATCCAGAATCCCTCAGTGTCCCAGAGGGAGCCATGGCCTCTCTCAACTGCACTTTCAGTGATAGTGCTTCTCTGAACTTCTGGTGGCACAGGCAGCGTCCTGGGAAAGGCCCTGAGGTGCTCATGTCCATCTTCTCCAATGGTGAAAAGAAAGAAGGCAGATTCACAGTTCACCTCAATAAAGCCAGCCTGCATGTTTCCCTGCACATCAGAGACTCCCAGACCAGTGACTCAGCTGTCTACCTGTGTGCAGTGAGCACACAGTGCTCCCCAGGCACCTGCATCCTGTACCCAAACCACTGGGACCCAGCAAGGCCTTAGATAGAGCACAAACTGGGAAACTCTTTTTATGCTATTTGCAATGAGAATTAACAGCAAGAGTAGAGAGAGAGGGTTTGACTTATAGGGAACAATCTTGATATTTTCAAAATAAGCAGTCCTGAAGGAAAAGGCACACTGTTTTTGTGGCTGGAACATTTTTCACTCTTCCCTTATGCTGATGGTTCTACAACCGTGTACATACTCTTTATGTGCTGATCTTGTTGAGCAGGATGACATAGACATGACCATGAGAGGCTCTTCACACCATGTCATAAAGATACCTCTACAGCACTGTGACTTAATTGCTTTTTAAAATCTTTCAATTATAAAATGTTTTTTAATTTTGAAAAACTTCCTTAGGATATAGCATATTTCTCTATGGAAGTTTTATACATATTTACTTTTTGTTGACTCTTCCCCGTTTATCTTATCCACCACATCTGCAGTTTCCATGCTTAAGGAAACCTCCTTCTTCTAGTTTCTTAATATGTGCACACACTCATAGTCACATGATACATACAGATAAAATGTAGAAGCAAAGATTTGCATGCATTTGTCTCTCTGAGGCTGGGATAACTCAGTTACTACAGTATGTTCCAGCTGCATCCATTTTCTTGCATATTTTATCATTTCATTTTTCTTTATTGATGTATATTATTCATCTATATACATATAATTGATTTTTTGCCTGAACTGTGCAGAGTTTGTTTATTGGACCTTGTATCTGAGGACCTGAAAGAATAGGGTGGACAATGGTCTGATGCTGTAGACAACCTTGCTTCAATTTCAGAGTACTTTTATACACATATGTAATGAAGAAAGCAATTATACAAAGAAGGTTGTTTGAATTCAGAAAAACATGTAAATAAATTCCAATACATACATATTTAATATTAAAATAGCATCCCTTTTCTAATTTTTTGAGGTGAATACAATTGCCTTCCACAAACTACAGATTATATCTGGGAGCAGGAAAGCAAGTCAGAAGGCCATATCCAGAGTCAGGGTACATTGACCAGATTGGGTTTTATAGCTGTGATCTGATACCTACCCATGTTATAGCTGTAAGTTGTAAACATGTCTTATAAACAGAATATAAATGTTTCCCACAGGAGACATAAAATCACATTCAAGAACAATCCTTAGTCTTTGTAGATATTCGAGCATCATATTTGGAATGCTCTAGCAAAACAGAACTGTAAAAGTCATCAAAAATGTCTTGAGAAAGTTTTAAATTAAAAACTAACTAACTTTAGTTATAGTTACATAAATATGAGGATTGGATGTGGGAAACTGGGGTTTAATATGATATTTCATTGTATATGTGTATGATGTCTTCAAAAATAAAGATTGAAAAGGCATTGAGAAATAAAATGGTGCTCTAGATTAAAAATATTTAGAAGTTTACTCAGCTTTTTAATTGTATAATTCTGACAATTTTCCAATAGGATACAGCTCCAATTTGAATATTGATTATGTTATTATAGGCCTGTGGTTGTTTGAATGAGAAAGTTCCTCATATTCTCGTTATTTAACACTTGGTCCATAGTTTGTAGCAATATTTGGGGGATATTAAGGAGTTGTAGCCTTGCTGAGGAAGCTAGTCCCTTGGCTGGGCTTTGAGAATTAAAGCATCACACACTTCCAGTTTCCTTTCTCTACTTCATGATGAAAGATGTAATCTCTCAGCTTCTTGGTCTGTAAAAAGACAGAAAGAAATCAATTATCTGTACATATTAACAGATAACATTATGTGGGTCTTGATTTAAATTTAAGAATGTAGGAGGAGATAATGGGTTATGCCTCTCATGTCTTTGTTGTACCTATGTTCCCCACCAGTTTCTTTATGAATGTGGATTTGCAGCAGTGTGTGGGCATTTCCACATGCACATGAATTAGTAGGATTTGTGTTAGACTTAAGAGCAAAACTGGCAATTCAATTGGTTCTCTCCTCCCCTGCATCCGATGCCAGTTTAAATGGCCTCCAATAGAGTTCCTGATTCTCTCTAAATCTAAAAGATTTAGGCCTCCTCTTCTCAGTGTACTTATCTCCATGGTCCCACTAGAGTGACCATAAGCTTTGCTTACAGAATTTAATAACTTTTCTAGTCCATTGTACCAAATGCTTTCAAAAATAGTCAAGAGAAGTAAAAGCCATATAGACATGTCTACAATTGTAATGACCCTACTTCCTTGGTACTAGTGTCTATCTGGTTTCTTTTTTGTTGCTGAGGCAAAATACCCTGACAAGAAGCACCTGGGAAGAAAGGATTTCTCTTAATTCACAATTCCAGATTATCAGTCATCATGGATGGAATGTCAAGGCAGCTAGAACTAAAACAGATGATCTCATCATTATGGGCATCAGGATGGAGAGAACTGAATGTGAGAATTCTCATTACTCAGCTAGCTTTCTCTAAAGTTGAAGGACCCAGAGCAGGAGTATTGCCACCCACTTCCAAGAAAGCAAGAACCAGCCTCTCCTTTACCTTATAATGGGTCCTCTGCACCTAAAACCACACCCAAAGGGTGTGGCCACCACCACAAGTTCACTGCAAGGAAAGATGCCACTACAAGGCAGGATCTTCACACATTACTTATATCAACCAAGAAAATCTCCACAGACTTGCCCACCCTTGATCTAGACAATCCATCATTGAGACCCTTCTCTGCTGAACCTGTTCTTGGCTTTTTTATTTCCTCCAATGTATTCCCATCTTCTGTCCCTTTGACAGATACTTTTTTTTTAACCACTTCAAAACATACAATGTATATTTCCATCTTATAATAATCACTCCCAGGTTAATGTCTGTATATAGGAAATTGTTTCAGTACTATACATATACACAAGTAGTAATTTTAGCGTTCCTCAAACAGCTGATAAACTAGTTACAATTCACAAATAACTAATAGAAACAAAGCCATCACACCATCTAAGAGCATGATTATCCTCTGACCTAAGGGATTGTCCATTTGCTTCACTCTTTTTTCTGCTACTAGAGGGAAATATTTATGTGAATATAGAGAGGAACCTTAAGTAGATGGATGATGCTGGATCCTGTTAGATAAACAGCAGTGTTTGTGCTAATCAGTAGGTGCTGATACAAGGGAACTCATTGCCTTGTGTGTGCTACTGTAACGAAGCCCACAAGACTTGTTAGTACAGTTTACATTATTCTATTACTATTGGTTTTTGAGATTATAGTATAATTACATCATTTCTTCCTTCTCTTTTCTCTCTTCAAACCCTCTCATATTACCCCTCCTTTTTCTTTTACAAATTAACTTCTTTCTTAAAATTAAAGGTATATGTTTATATGTATGTTGCATATATATATATACATATATATATATATTGCTAAATATAACTTTCCCACGTTATGTAATGTTATTTGTATGTATGTTTTCAGGGCTGACCATTTGGTACTGGATAATTAATTGTTGTCCTCTTCATTGGGGAATATTATTTCTCTGACTCACAGAGATATCTTTGTTTGCCTGCAGATTTTTTTGTTGTTGTTGTTTGTTTTCCTTTTTTGTGTAGAGCTAAGGTGTGGACTTTGTCTATACACTTTGTTATATCTACTGTTGCTGTCCTTGGTCAGGTCAAGTCTAGCTAGTTCTGTTTCACTAAAAGGTATGCATTCAATGTATCACTTTCTATGAATAAATACAGTAAGTACATTACTAAAAAAGTTCTGTCATTTCACATATTTCCCCATGATTATAACTCTATAGCAAAGGTATTGGCAGCATAATGCTCTAATCTAGAAAATGAAGACAGAATTTGAGTATTAATGGTGAAATGGATAAGGGAATCATTAGGGGAATTCAGCCTTTGGTGCAATGTTCTTTTATTTTGCTAGTTCTTATGAATATGCATATAAAATCATAAAAGCACTCACAGTGATTCATGCCTATTATTTTCCATTGTTTCCATGAAGTGTGAGTGTGGGAAGAAACCCTGCCTGCCTTCTTCACAGTCTGACCATCTGCATGCAGACATTTCTCCTGTTCCCAGGGTCACATAACTCTCAGCCATGCTATTCTCTGATCTTGTTTGTTTTATTCAGATACCTGTATTTTATTCTTCTTTATTAGAGTGTACACCAGTGTCTCCTCCCTTTCATGCATTCTTACTATTTATTTTCAGTAAAACTTTAGTCAGTGCTTATGGATTTAACTAAATTATAGAAATACCACATAAGAAATATCAGATTATTTAGAGGTTTAATTTCCCTGCTATATTACTTTTAAAGTGATTCTCCTTTAACCCCCATTCTATCTAGACCATCATGTCTCTGACTATCTTGCATTTCCTCCATCACATACTAAAGAAGTCACCTTTGTTGATGGTGATGGTCCACAAGGGGGCAGTGCAGGCTTCTCAGAAAGCATTTTCTGCCATGCCTAAAGGGTTGGGTAGTTAAAGACATCAGAGAACATGTGAGGCAGTCAGTCACAGGTAGCAAAGTTTATTCCTGGCCATTAGTTTTGCTATTCTGTGGAACCATAAAACTAGATGAGTCTGGACACCCTCTATGAGGATGACTTCTTGAGGAGACAAAAGCACTGAATTTAAATAGAAAACATATAACCCCATGACTTCAAGTTTTAAAATTTTATGATGAAAATCCCTGGAGTTCACTGATCCAGGTATTATTCTAACACCTATGATAGCTAAACTTTCTATTATCTCCTTTTAGACTAGCAGGAACAAGAATAGTTAGTTAGGGAGAAAAGTAATAAGTTACAAAAACAGAAGAAGACAATAGAGAGAACACCGCTGAACTTGACCTGCGGTCTGTGGGTCTGCAAGGTGCAGTGAAGGGGCTTGAGAAGGAGGACAGAGGTAGAAAATGACTCGGGGTGAATGTTGTATGCAGAACCTGATTGTTTTAACAGGTGGAAATTCCATTGAAAACATTTCTTTGCAGATGTTGACCTGCTGGTTTCAGGAAAGTGTATGAGCTCCTCAGCAGACATTGCATCCAATCAAAGAGTTTTCATATAACAGACTTACAATTTCTGTCAAATTATGGAATTTAAGAAATGGCTTGCTCTATCCTTTATGCTCTGATGTATGGAGACCATGGCTCTTTCCTGATGTATCATCTCCTCCTCACATTTTTCCTCAAATGTCTCCTACTTCAACTGTTAAAACAAATAGACTAACTAAACCTCTTCAGTTTCACGCTGTAGGTGGCATGGCCTACTGCTTCCCTTCATGGTTTTCATCACAGCTCTGCAGCAGTTACTGTGAGGCTTCACTGGGCTGCTGTGGGCGTGGTTTTTATCAAGATGAAAGAGCTCAGATTTTGTTGGTGCCTGGTGAATGAGGGAGAGCCTGCTCACTGCAAACTAGACAGTGGAGCTGGGTAAAGAAGTTTTAGCAGGTCGACAGGATCCATGGAGAGGAGCCTGGGAGCTGTGTTGGTGCTGCTGTGGGTGTGGATTTGCTGTGAGTTGTGGCTCTCCCATATGGGACAGAGGTGAACCTCGGCTGACAGCAGGAGGTGCAGAACAAAGCTGATTCAAAGCTCCTCATGGCTGTCTCGTGGAATATAGGACAGGGTGGAAACTGCGGAATGATAGCCCCCATCATATGGTTTGTTTTCCTTTATCTGAGCAGGGGTCAGAGGGATGCAGGTGGAGCAGAATCCTCCAGCCCTGAGTCTCCACGAGGGATCGGGCTCTGCTCTGAGATGCAATTTTTCTACCACCATGAGGAGTGTGCAGTGGTTCCGCCAGAACTCAGTGGGCAGCCTCACCAGTCTGTTTTACCTGGCTTCAGGAACAAAGGAGAATGGGAGGTTAAAGTCAACATTCAACTCCAAGGAGCGCTACAGCACGCTGCACATCTGGGATGCCCAGCTGGAGGACTCAGGCACCTACCTCTGTGCTGCAGAGGCACAGTGCTGCCAGCAAGCCTGAAGCCTGGCCCCAAACTGCAGCTGGGTGTGCAGCTACAGCCCTACCACAGAGAGACTTTGCAGGAGGCTTTGCACAGCTGTGGGGGTCCCAGCTTATGTGCATCTCTGTCATCTCTGCTGACATCGTATAGTTCAGGATGGATCCCATAGGCTCACATATTTGCATGCTTTGTTTCCAGTTGATGGCCTGTTTGGAAATCATTGGGAGGTGCGGCCTTGTTGGTGGAAGAACTGGCGGAGATGTGCCACTAGAAGTGGGCCGTGAGGTTAAAAAGCCCACTCCAGGCCCAGTGTCTCTTTTTCTGCCTGTGGCCTACTGATCAGAATCAGAGAGCTCTTAGCTACATCTCCAGCACCGTGCCAGCTAACTGCCAGCTCCCAGCCATGATGATAATACACTAAGGCACTGAAACTTTAAGCAAGAAATTAAATTTCTTTCGTAAGTTGCCTTGGTAGTGTTGTCTCTTTGTACTAATAAACAGCAATTTATCAGATTTCTACAACATACAAAAATGTCTGAGAAAGTATTAGATCATAAGTTTATGCATACAATAAAATACTTATGCAAAATCCATTTGTATGACTAGTTAAGTCATTTCATAAAAGTTGTTCCACTACAATCATCAAGCCTGGATTTAATGAATCCCATGTTTTCAACTAATTCATTAGATGTGTCTACTGCTATTGCCACAGGACATAAATAGCCTTAAGAGCTCAAGTGTCAGCTTTGTCATTTCTCAAATTGAGAAGTTGTCAAACATTCAGTTTTCAGCTTTACATTTCTCAGGAGCACCTGACATCATCCAAGTAGACAACTTGAAAAGGAAGTTGCTAATAGAACATTTTAGACACTGGTGAGTGAAACTGTATAGGGTGAAGCCAGAAAAGTCCCAGGTTATCACCCATCATTGTACCAAAGCCCAAGATACATTAACAGAACAATGCCACTATCTTTTTAAAAAATTACACTACTGATTATTTTTGAACTTTTTATACAACCTATTTTGAATATTCTTTCCCTTCCCTTAGTCTTCCCATATCCTTCTCACCTCCCTACTTCCTCAGCTTAAAGTTCTCTCAAATAATGCAAAAAAAAAAAAAAAAAAAAAAACCACAAAAACAAGATGACAAAACAACCTTTCTCCAAAGACAAAATCCACTAAAGAATAACAACAAAAGTATACACACAAAAATATTTGTGTTGTTCAACTACTCCTGAACTTGAGGTGTATCCTGGAATGTGGTTAAAATACCTATTTGACTCCATCCAAATTTTCCCTCTCCCAGGAGACATCAATGGCAACAGGCTTCTGGGTTAGGGATTGAATTCATGTCCACCTCCCCATGTCTGTGCTGGGATTTTCTTATGACTTGAGTTTGTTCACATCTTGTGCATGCAGTTATAGTCTCTGTGAGTGTGTAAGTGTCTTCAGAGAATATTGTTTAGAGTCAAGTAGATGTACTGGAGTGAACTCATGCTGGTCATGGTAGTGCTGAACTTTGTTCTCAGCACTTGGGAAGTTGAAGCAGGTGAATCACAAGTTAGAGGCCAGCCTAGATTTCTAGCAAGATCTATCTTAATTCGAGGAGATGGACAACTCCTCCAAAAGTAAATGAAAGCCTAGAGAGGTGATGCAGAAATGGTTCTGCTATACCAATTTGATGCTCTCTGAAAGCATTCCTACCTTGGATCAGCCTTTCTGCAATGCTCTCTGTTGTGCTTGTGCTGTGCATGTATCAGTTGAGACTAAGCACCCATCTGTAGCAGGTTTTCTTGGACTGCCAGCTTTTTGGACTGGCTGGGGCTCTTCTTCTCTTTTTCCCTTATTCTCTCCCTAGAGCCTAGATTCCTCCTCCTACTTATTCTCTGCCTGCCAGCCCTGCCTGTGCCTCTACTTTCTAGGTATTGGCTGTTCAGCCTTTTACTAGACCAATCAGGTGTCTTGGGCAAGCAAGGTAAAAGAAACGCAATGCACTTTTTTATCTAGTTAAACAAATGTAGCATAAACAAATGTAACACATCTCTACATATCCTGCAACACAAACAAATGCAACACATCTTTACATAGTTAAAATAATACTCTATCCCTCAACACCCCATGGTCAGTTGTTCTTTGCATTTTGACTAGTTGTGTTTTCTTTTATGGTCTACTGCTGCTGCAGAAAGAACTCTCTTTGATGAGGTACACTTACTGGTGTGTAGCAGGCTTTTTCTTTTAGGTCACCAACCAGCTTCCAAGTCATGCCAAAGAGACTATTATTCACTATGAATGCTTGGCCTTAGATTAGGCTGGTTTCTTGCTAGCTCTTATAACTTAACCTGTTTCTCTTTATGTACATTTCACCTTAGGGCTCTTTTACCTTTGTTTCCTTCCTTCTGTATATGTTACTGTCTTGTCTCCATGGTTAGCTGGCTGGCAGTTGCTTTGATTTTGGCCCCAGGTGAGTCCCTCTCTTTCTCCCTCTTTTTCTGCATTCTCTTTTCTCTCACAAGCCTGGATTTCTTCTCTTTCTTATTCCCTTTGCCTGTCAGTCCTGCCTATCCCTCTCCGGCCTAGTTATTGTATGTTCCACTTTTTATTAGAACCACCAGGTGTCTTAGGCAGGCAAGATTAAATAGCAGCACAACTTTTCATAATAAAGAAAATGCCTCACAAACCAATGTAACACATTTTTACATTGTTAATAAAGGCAGCAGAAACACACCTTCACGTAGTTAAAGTAATATTGCACAGCATAAACAAATATAACACATATTTACATAATTAAAATAATATTACACAACATCTGTAGGAATAAGGACAAATATTTAAAATGCAGTTAGGGATTATATTGGCTTAGGAAAATGGCAGTGCAGCGGGAAGTTCTCTGTTTTGAGTTCCTGACCTCTCCAGGCATGAATAATTGGAGAAATTGACAGTCACAGTTATGAATTCTCTCCCTTTGAGTGGATTGTAAGTCCAATTCAATGGTCGTTGGTTATCTCCAAGATGTAAGTGCCACTGTTGAAGATTTGGGTGCTGGTCATTGTTGTAGCTCTTAGGTATCATAGCTGGACAGACCTATTGGCTGCCTTTTTCCCTTGTCAAGTTTCAGAATATCTCTGAATACTATGGGAGTCCTTAGGAAATAAACTCCTAGGTCAGTTGTAGCCCATTCTTCCCAGTCCTATGTCCAAAGTTTGCAATATATTTAGGAATAGGGACTTATCTTCAAATCTGTGAGTCAACCAAAGACAGTCTCAATTGTTGTTCTTTTGTTTTAGTTATCGCCTAATAAACACAAACATGAGGCTCAACACACACATGAAGTTTATTGGTAGAGGGGAGAGAAGGGGGTAGTTGGTGGCCAACTGAAAGCAGGAGAGAGAGGGGGAAGAAGAGAGAGAGGAAGAGAGGAAGAATGGAAGAGAGAGAAAGAGAGAGCAAGAGTGGAAGAGGGGAAGAGAAGGGGGCGCGATTGGTGTGCTTGATTTAAAAGAGAAACTTGTCCATCCATAACCGAGTCCCCTGTGTAGCTAGGTAACTCATAAGCAGCCAGGTAAAGGGTGACATAGTGATGACATGGCCATGAGCCTCCCGCCCATTGTCGGGGGGAGGGTTAGCAGACTGCTGGTTTCCAACATCAATAGCCTATGTAGTTTTGGGATTGAGCTGTCCTGAACAGACACTTAAAATGAAGTTTCTCATGTCAAGTGTTATGCTAAATAGTTTATGGCTCTAGGGAGCACTGTCACTCAAAGTGGCATAACATTATTTTGATTATTTATTTATGTATATGCATGCACACACACACACACACACACACACACACACACACACACACACACCCTACACTTTGAGGTAGGTAGAAATAATATGATTGCCTGTGACTTTTTCAAACACCCTTAATGTTATTTTTTCCTCCTCTTGTCTGCTCCCCTGCACTGATCTCCATTTAACCCTCGCCTTTTCCCATTTCCCACTTCATAGAAACTGTCCTGCTATTGCTCTTCCTAGTTTCTTTTTCCCATACCCTCTTGGTTACATTTTACTTTCCTTGGGTTCATCTAGGTAATTCCCACTGGAGAACATTTCTGTAGAACTGGTAGTTTTTATGGGAGTGGGGGTTGTCTTGGCCTTTCATAATGCTTGTGATAGGATCTAGGCATGTAGACTTCCTTCACTGGGTCTGATATTGCAGTCTGCCTCTTTTGAGTGGAATTTTGTTTCTGTTTTTTTTTTTTTTTCTTCTTCTTCGTTGCTTAAGCTTGGTTGGTTTCAGATCAGGTTTAAAGAGTTGGTAGGTCAGTCCTTCAGATAGAGATATGCATTAGGATGGATGACAGGGATGAAAGTGATTCTAATTCAGTGGTTATGGAGAAAGTGTGTGACGATTACTCAGGAATAGAAGCTGTTCAAGCCAAGCTATGTTTGGAAGTGTGTGGATGACACACAGAGGTTCTGCGAACTTATCAGTCTGAGTTTTATGTAGGTTGCAGGATCTAAAGTAGGCTTTCTGGGAGTATGGGGAAGATGTAAGTGGGTAGAGCTATGGGGCTCTCAACTGGCTGGGCTGGTGAACAAGGGATGTATCTACAGCTAGGCCTGGGAATGTGAAAATGGAGTGGGCTATTGGGAATCTGGACCACTCACCTGGTTAGGCTGGTTCATGGTTCATGTGTCCCAGCTATGTCTGACAGGGAGGTACTCACATGGGTGAGTAGAAAGCTAGTGGACTCACCTGGTTAAACTAGTTCACAGTTAGTGTGAGCACAGGTAGGCTTGGAGGTGTAGACATGGCACAGGTGGGCTGGGGTCTCCTACTGAATTTAAATTTGTTTTTCATTTAAATTAAAAACAGTCTTATTTTACACACCAGTCTCAGTTCCCTCTCCCTCCCATCCTCCTACTCTTCACACCATCTCCCCATCTAGCCCCCATCTAGGCCTCAGAGAGGGTTCGGCCTTCCATGGGGGATCATTAAAATCTGTCACATCATTTAGGGTAGGACAGAGGCTCA